AAAAGATTTACTGTCTATGTGTTTTTTTTTATTTGGCATTATAAATTGTTGACTTGTGCAGCTATTATGAATTGATAGAGTTGTATCTGTTGTTACTTTTATGTCAGCTATTGTGTATCAGCAGTTGTTGTCATTGTTGCATCTATTTGATATTTTGGTAACACAGAATTGTATTGAGTGATGACTTGAAACAGTGATAACTGGTAATTAGTAGTTTAAGAAAAGCTACAGTTGTCCCTCTTGTGAATTGACCAGATTGTTATCGACTTACCGTCAGCATTTACTGCTTCTGGTTATCTCCCTTCTTGAAAATTTTGCTATTTTTGTTCTTAATAATTTTGCTTTAAACAACTGCATTAATTTAACTGCTGCCTCATTTCTTTAATGTGGAATAATTTATACACCAAAACTCTCGTTTCGCCTTTAATTCTTTTACAAAATATGACTACTCGATGCTTCAGTCATGAAAATTTGTATGGCCCAGTGCACACTTCCACTCTGTGCATGACACTCCATTTAACAATTGATTCCAACGTGCTTAATTTTGATTAATATAGGAGTGAGAATTAATGCAGCTTTAATTCTCGAGTAGCTAATTTACTGGTATTATAGTTACTTCTGGACTCGCTACATCCAAGTGAAATGTTAATCCAAAATTTTCTATGTTTTATCGTGGCGCAATGGTAGCGCGTCTGACTCCAGATCAGAAGGTTGCGTGTTGGGTTCAATCCTCCCTATCCATACCAGATCCTCAATCCTCCTTTTGGTAAGCATATCCTATCAAAGTTATATTATAGCCTGCATTATACCTTGTGAATGGTGTCACATAAATTGAGACAGGGAGTAATTGATAGTAATAGAAACATTGGATAATGCTACATTTAAGGAAAGCACAGTTGGAACTAATGTAACGATAACTGGTGTAAATGTGCACAGTTGGAAACACCTCCACTAATAACAATGTCAAAAAAGATAAATTTTCTTATTCTTATATTTGGTGTAAATGTAAAAGGATAATTATATAGTACTCCTAGTAGTATTAGTTAAGGTCGTCTTTTGTATCTTACTTCTAGCATTTTTACTTCTTTAGATAGAACCCTTACAGGAGGTTCAAGTTGCTTAAATGCATGACAGCAATTAGCTAGTTTGATCGATCCTTTAGTTTAAGCACCACCAATCCTTGGTCTAATCTTAAACGTAGAAGCCTCTGCATTATCAATCTCGTAAGTAATAACTACTAACTGATCGAGTAATTTTCTGTAAATTAGTTAGAAGTTGATGAGTATATGATAATTTAGATCATGATGAATGCATAATTAGATCCGTCTGGCACCATCAACAAGCTGCTAGTTTGCAGGCTCCAGTTATGGCATCATATTCATTTAATTAAGGGTCCTGATCTTGAGCTATATTCCACATAATTAGACACAGCTGATATATGCCCTAAAATCAAACAAGTTTAAGTTCGACGCACTAAACGTGTTAAAATATATTATTATTTCTCTTCAATAAGCGTTTAATCAATAACTTGAAAAAAATTAAAATAGCAAATGACTTGTTAAAGTATGTTAAATTATATCTTTATATTGCCGGTGTATATACATTAAATAAGGGAAAAACCAAACACTTGCCACCTGGATCGTCGGTATGGCTTCCGGTTGTCCTAATTACTGAAAGTAATCTTTATATCAAGGGTATGATGACACCAAACATTCAATTGATGAACCTTGGTCAGATTTGAATATATGTTAGACTAATTATACATCTTTATGAAAGTACAAGAGGGGGTGAATTACTTATTTTAAAATTAATTATTATAAGTTGACTGGTTTTTCAATTAGTCGACTAGATGTAATAGCGAAATAATAAGAAGTGCAGAATTAAAATACAGAAGTAAAGTACATGAATTAAAGACACCGGAGTTTTTATACTAGTTCGGATTCAATGTGAATTCTAGTCCAGTCCCCTTGGGTTGCAAGGGAGTTCTCTTTCAGTGATTGAGTTTCTTAAGTGCAAAGTGAATGGTGTAGTTTACACCAACAACTCAGTTTCTATGTCACTCGTCTTTTCTTGATACAATGTCTCACCAGTATTTTTCTCTCTTTCTTCTCTAACTTGTTACACGACAGATCTAGTAGAGCTATAATGTTTGTTTGAAGTAGAACAAAGAGAGAGTAATTGGTTTGATCAAAGTATATCTCTCTAAGACTTAAGGTTGCGTATAAATACTTTGTAGGAGACCGTCACTGAAGAGATTTGCCAACCCAAGAGATTTGATCCTTGGAAAGAAATTGATTCTTTCCAAGAATAAGGTTAATTCCCGTTACTCTTCCTTGATGTGTGGACTTTGACAGCTTTCTATTTTTAAGTCTTGATAGCGCCGGATTTGCTCCTTAATTCTGGGTCCTTCCAGTAATAGCTACTGATTGATTATCTTGCCAGGTCTTCAATGCTTCTTTTCCTTTTTAACTCTTCAATCAATCTCGGATTGATTATCTCGCCGGATCGTCAGTGCTTCTTTTCCTTTTGAATGCTTCAATCAATCTTTGATTGATTTCTTCCTTCAGCTTTGATTGTTTCTCTTTGGGTACTTCGATCTTGGTTGATTTCCTACACCAAAAATAATTATATTATTTTACATCATTAAAACTAAAACCTAACAATCTCCCCCTTTTTGATGATGACAAAAAAAAATAATATATGTAAATATTAGTTAACTTCCCTGTATTTTACTCCTCCTCAATGAGTGTAGTTGACTCCCCCTCAATAGGTGCCATTGGGACTACTTCTTTTAGTCGACTTCTCCTGTAGTATCTATAGTCGACTTCTCCTGCAATGGATGTACCTGCACTATTATATGTATAGCTTTCTCCCCCCTTTTTGACATCAACAAAGAGGGGATAAAAACAACAATACACCAGATACTAAAGCAGAATTTGTAGCGTGATATGCATGCAGAGTTAAAAAAAAAATCATCCAACGACTGATTATCCAGTCCAAAACAGCACAGCAAAAAATAATTATTTGAAACTTCTACACTAACGACGCAAGAAATAAGTAAGAGTGTTGCAAATCACCTCCTTCAGTTGATCAAAGCTAGCATTAGCTGAGACAGTCACTCCATCAAGCCTGTCGTGCACTTCCTTGAATGCCTTGACTGCATTTTTCCTAACGCTGATAATTGCAACCTTTATCTTTGAAACATCAGACCCTGTCTCTTTGGAGATTGCATGAATGTTTCCAACAGTGGATTGAGTGGCAGTAAGAAGATCTTTGATGGTGGTCAGCTGGTTGTCAATGGCAGTCAGTTTCTCAGCAAGGTCAGGATTGCTAAGACTGTGATGGAAAATATAGGCTTTGGTCTTGGAATCAGGTTGAACATGCTTGACCTCACCTTCCTGTTTCTTAACCCAGGAGCCTTTTACACACACATATACCATACTAGCAAATGCCCTAGAATTGTAAGATTTTGAAAAAGAGATGAAGGGATATTCAGAGATAGAGATATTATGAGCTTCCAGAATGTGAGTGATGGCCATGCCATAGGGCAGACTGGTGGGATCATCAGCACTTTCAATTCATAAAATTTATGACCCAAAAGGATAATTTGATCTTGAGTTTGGTCACAAGGCAATAGACAAGAAAGTTATCTCTTTGAGAGAAGGTGGAGAAGGAGCCAGTACGAGGGAGCAGAGTAGTTGTAACAATATGGGCTAGAACACGAGTTTCAAAGCTAACATCACTTGGACCTAACTGGTTCGGGAGGGATTCAGATGAACACTCAGCGATACAACATTTTGCTTGATCAAAGGTGATTTCAAAATCATCAGGCCAAGAATTTTTGAAAAGCATAGGAAAACCAGAACACTTACATCGGAAAATTGAGTCAAACATGGCACAATCAAGAACGATGCACTTTCCTAACACTAAGGATTCCAACTTGTCAGACTTACTAGAGCGAAGATTGGCACAGAATATTCTTACTAGAGGTTCATAGACTTTAGGAGGGGGAAGAGAAAAGAATTTTGACCAGCCTTGATAAACAAACAGATCTTTTACCTTACAATTTAGGGCTTCCATGTCATCAAGGTCGACTACTCTGCCATGAGCGATTGGCTTGTCTTTCATAGCAATAAAAAAATCCCTGTTTTGAGAATCCCAGAAATTTAGGTCAGACTCTAAAAAACTTGAGAGATCTATTTTAGATTTTTTTGGAGTAAAGGATTTAGGAGGTTCTTCCTAAGGTCTTTTTCCTAGGGCTTTTTCTCCTAGAGGATGAGAATGATCTGAGAGTTCTGCCTGAGATGAGGCAAAGCCTTCTGAGTGGTCGGACCCTAGGTCTATTTGTTCTGGAGGCTGGGAAGAAGGTTTTGCTCTGGAGCGAGTACTTTTCCTGGTGGAGGCTGAGGGATTTTTAGAGTGTTTAGCCATGGAAGAAACTGGTTGAAGAGAGTTTCGGAGAGGGTTTCTAAGCGATGGGAACGATGGAGATTGGAAGAGGGTTTCAGAGATTAAAAGAAGGGGTTTCTGACGATTGAACATGCGTGATGATTGGTTTTCCTTTCTTGAACGCTGCAACTGATGTGAAAAGAGAGGAAAAAAGAGGGAATTCAGAGGCGCTATTAATGACTATGAAAAGAAAAAGTTTAAACATTAGGCATACAAAACATAAAAATGTCACATAGGTCCTAATATTAATGATTAATGGAAATAATACCAAGTAATTCTCTTAAAAAGCAAAATTTGTCTTCAAGTAAAGGTTTAGTGAAAATATCTACTAATTGATCAGTAGTTCCAACAAAAGATAATTCTATATTTCCCTTAAGAACATGATCTCTAATGAAATGATGCTTGATGTCTATATGCTTTGCCCTAGAGTGATGCACATGATTTTTTGAGAGACATATAGCGCTATAGTTATCACAGAAAATTGGAATGGGTTTAAAGAATAGTTCATAGTCACCCAATTGATGAGACATTCATAGTAATTGTGCACAACATTATCCAATGACGATATACTCAGCCTCAGTTGTGGATAGTGCAGTTGATCCTTGCTTTTTACTGTTCCAAGATATCAATGCTTTTCCAAGTAATTGATATGTTCCGCTGGTGCTTTTTTCGTCTTCCTTATCACCTGCAAGATCAGCATCTGAAAAACCTTCTAGTTTAAAATTGTTAGAGCGTGGATACCATAATCCGTGAGAAATAGTTCCAGTGAGATATCGAATAATTCTCTTTACTGTAGTCAGATGTGATTCTTTAGGAGCTGACTGAAACCTGGCACATTTACAAACACTAAACATAATATCTGGTCGACTAGTAGTTAGATAAAGAAGGGAGCCAATCATTCCACGATATTTAGTTTCATCAACAGGATTTCCCTATTCATCTTTGTCAAGGCTTATTTAAGGACTCATTGGTGTGCTAATAGCTTTAGCATTATTCATACCGAACTTCCGAATCAACTCCTTTGTGTATTTTGTCTGACATATAAACGTTCCTTCTTCAGATTGTTGAATTTGAAGTCCAAGAAAGAACGTTAGCTCTTCCATCATACTCATTTCAAACTCACTTTACATAAGATTTAAAAATTTCTTGCACAGAAGAGGATTAGCACTACCAAAAATAATATCATTAACGTAAACTTGAATAATGAGAATACCTTCCGATGATCTTTTAATATAAAGGGTAATGTCTACTTTACCTCTTGTAAATCCGTGATCAATAAGAAATAAACTGAGTCTTTTGTACCATGCTCGTGGAGCTTGTTTAAGTCCATACAATGCTTTGGTCAATTTGTACACATGGTAAGGAAACTTTAAATCTTCAAATCCAGGGAGTTGTTTACATATACCTCCTCCTCAATGAAACCATTTAAAAAGGCACTTTTGACATCCATCTGGAAGAGCCTAAATCTTTTAAAGGATTGCGTATGCAAGAAGAATTCGTATTGATTCCAGTCGAGCTACTGGAGCAAAGGTTTCGTCGTAGTCGACTCCTTCCTGTTGTGAGTATCCTTGAGCTACTAATCTGGCTTTGTTTCTCACAACCTTTCCATCCTCATTTAGTTTATTTCTTAAAATCCATTTTGTTCCAATTACAGAAGTGTTTTCAGGCTTAGGCAGCAGTTTCTATACGTGATTTTTGTCAAATTGATCTAGCTCTTCTTGCATTGCTTGTAACCAGCTTGAGTCTTTCAGAGCTTCTTCTATTTTCTTTGGTTCAATCTGGGAAATCAGTGCTATGTTTTCTTTCTTCTTGAGAGCTTCCCTGGTTTTCATTCCTTTGCTTGGGTCTCCTATGATAAACTTTTAAGGATATTCTGGTTCACCTCTCCATTCATTTGGACGAATTGTACTTGTATGAGTAGTTGACTCCTTCGGAGATTCCGATTGACTGTTGCTAATCTCATTAGTTGACTCCATTACACCATCAGGTTTATTAGTCGACTTTTGAGATTTGCTTGTCTCCTAAATTATTTGAATTTGATCTTCATCACCTGCAATAATTTCTTTCTCGGCCGAAGTGTTATTTTCATCAAAGATTACATGTACTGATTCTTCTACACACAATGTGCATTTATTATAGACTCCAAATGATCTACTATTTAATGAATGACCTAGAAAAATACCTTCGTCACTTCTTGTATCGAATTTTCCAAGATTGTCCTTACCATTATTGTGAATGAAGCACTTGCTTCCAAACATATGAAAGTAACTTATATTGGGCCGTTTACCTTTCCACAATTCATAAGGAGTCTTCTTTAGGATGTGTTTTATGAGGCATCGATTGAGAATGTGACATGCTATACTTACTCCTTCTTCCCAGAAGTGATTTGGCAACGAATATTCTAGTATCATAGTTCTTGCCATATCTTGTAAAGTCCTATTTTTTCGTTCAACAACTCCATTCTGTTGGGGTGACCTTGGAGCAGAGAAATTGTGGGTGTATCCTTGATCACTGCAGAAATCTTCAAATGCTCTACTTTCAAATTCTCCTCCATGATCACTTTGAATTGTTGTAATAAGATACCCCTTTTCTCTTTCGACCTTTTTACAGAAGATCTCAAAATTTTTCAAAGCTTCATCTTTGTGAGATAGAAAAATCATCCAAGTAAAGCGTGAGTAATCATCAACAATAACAAAGGCATATCGTTTTCCTCCTATGCTAGCAGTTCTAGTGGGTCCAAATAAGTCTATATGAAGCAATTATAAGGGCTTTGAAGTAGATACAATATCTTTATTTTTGAAAGAGTTTCTAGTTTGTTTACCAATCTTACATGCATCACATACATAATTTCTAGAGAAATTGAGTTTAGGTAAACCAATAACTAAATCATGCTTGGAAAGTTTCTCTATTAGATGCAAGCTTGCATGACCAAGTTTCTTACGCCATAACCATGTATTATCAGATATGGATGTTAAACAAATATGACCAACTATATTTTCAAAACTATCAAGAATATAGACATTTCCATACCTTTTACCTGGGAGGATTATTTTACATGTCTCATCTTCAATAACACAGCCTATTTTCTTGAACTTTACTTCATACCCTGAGTCGCATAGCTGACTTATACTCAGAAGATTGTAGTTAAGTCCGCCAACAAGATAAACCTCAGCGATATCACAATTATTATTAAAAGGAACTGTTCCGGTACCGAATATTTTTTCCTTTTGAGTCATCAACAAATTTGACACTTCCTCCGTCTATTTTTGTAACTTATTTAAACAGGTTTTTGTCACCTGTCATGTGACTGGAACACGCACTATCTAAGTACCATTTTCCTTTGCGACTCCTTCCGTAGTGTTCCTGCAAAACATAATTATCACTTCCTTTTAGGTACTTAAGCTTGCTTGGGTCCTTGCTGGTTAGTATTATTAGACTCAGGATTATTTTTGGGTTTCCAAATCCATCCTGAAATATTTGATTTACGAAATCGACAAAAAGAATATTTATGTCCACTTTTGTTACAGTAGTGACACGTAAGTCCTGATCCATTTTTGGATCTTTCATTTGTGTTAGTACTAGTGGACTCTGTTCTGGCTGGTCCTTCTCCAGTTGACTTGTAAGTCGCCTGGTTTGACTTGACAGAACTATGACTGGTGGATTTGCGCATGCCATTGAGTTGCATTTGTAATTCCTAAAACTCATCTTGAAGTACTTCTTTTTTAATTTCACATTCTTCAAGCTTGAGTATCCAGTCTTTTACTTCTTTGTTGAGTCTCTTTAGTTCATTCATCATTTTTTGAGAATCTTTCAAAGTAAAGTCAAGAATATCCTGTAATTCATTACATCTTTCATAGTTATAAGATCTTACCTCGCTTGTTTCACCTCGCGCCATGAAACAATTCTCATTGTCATTTTTGCATTCGTCATATGAAGTGTCCTCATCTGTCCAGCACCCTGAGAGTTTGTTCATGTTGTTTTACAGAATTGTCATGAAACATAGATTTGCTATCTCTTCGTGTTCTAAAGTGTCTTCATCACTCCAGCTTCCAAATGATTTGTTCTTGTTAAAACCTCTGAAAACCTTTCTTTTAAGATCAGGACACTCAGCTTGAACATGCCCAAATCTTTCACACTCATAGCATTTGCCATCATTTTTGTCTTGTTCATTATATTGCCTAGTTCGCCTGGGTGGTATCGTTCCTCTTCTTGTATTCCTGTATCTCCTCATTAAACCATCCATGTTCCTTTATACCATGATAATTTCTTCTTGAAGAGCTTCAGGGTCGTCATTAATATCATTGTTTGCTCTTTCAGTTGTAGCCTTGAAAGCAGCTGTTTTCTTCTTTTCTTCTTGTTTTGTTTTCTTGAGATGAGTTTTCTTGAAGGCTATAAGTTCTCCTCGAAGTTCATCGTATGATAATTTGTTCAAATCCTGTGATTCAAGTGTAACCACTTTTGTCTGCCAAGTAGTGGGTAGACTTCTCAAAATTTTCCTAACTTGATCACCACTTAAGTATGGTTTGCCAAAAGCTTTAAGATCGCTAATGATTTTGCTAAATCTGGCAAACATCTCTTCAATAGATTCTCCTTCTTTCATCTGAAAAAGTTCGTAGTCATGAACCAACATGTTGATATGGGTTTCTTTTACTTTACTGGTTCCTTCATAAGTAACTTCAAGTTTATCTCACATCTCTTTGGATGTATTGCAACTGGAGATTTTCTCATATTCCTCACCACTTATGGCATTATAAAGCAGATTCCTTGCTTTAGCATTAACTTGCATAACTGCCATTTGTTTATCAGTATATTCATCTATATCTTCAGGATCAGCAGGTGGTTGAGCAGCATCCGGCAGACGATAGTTCCCCTTTTTGATAACTCGCCAGACCTTGACATCATAAGACTTTGCGTATATTTTCATACATACTTTTCAGTGAGAGAAATGTTGTCCATTGAAATATGGTGGCCTTACTTGCGATGTTCCTTCTTGGAAGAGTGCTCCAACAATAACTTGATTAGCCATGATCTTTACTCACAAGTTGTTAAGCAAAAGAAAAATGTGAGCCTTGCTCTGATACCAATTGAAAGTACAAGGGGAGGGGGGAGGGGGGAGGGGATTGCTTATTTTAAAATTAATTGTTATAAGTTGACTGGTTTTCCAATTAGTCGACTAGATGTAATAGCGAGATAAAAATAAGTGCAGAATTAAAATGCAGAAGAAAAGTGCAGGAATTAAAGACACTAGAGTTTTTATACTGGTTCAGATTCAACGTGAATCCTAGTCCAGTCCCCTTGGGTTGCAAGGGAGTTCTCTTTTAGTGATTGAATTTCTTGAGTGCAAAGTGAATGGTATAGTTTATACCAACAACTCAGTTTCTATGTCACTCGTCTTTTCTTGATACAATGTCTCACCAGTATTTTTCTCTCTTTCTTCTCTAACTTGTCACACAGCAGATCTAGTAGAGCTACAATGTTTGTTTGAAGTAGAACAAAGAGAGGCTAATTGGTTTGATCAAAGTAGGGGTGCTTATCGGGCGGATTATTACGCTTAACGGTTTGGCTTATCGGTTATCGGATTATAAATGTAGTAATCCGCTAGCCATCCAATAAGACAACAGGCAGATTGGTATCGGGTTGATAATTATCGGACGGTTATCGGGCGGTTTATCGGCTAAATCAAATAAATTTTTTTTGAACAATCAATACCAAACGGTCAAAATAATAATAAATTATCGGTCACTGCAGGAACAATCAATATCACATAATAATATTGCAGAGTAGTTGCTTGAACGATCAATACATATTCCCTTTTTTTCCTTGGACTCCGAAAATTTAACTTGCTAATACTTGAAGTTTAATTATTGTTGTGATATTGGAGACTGTGCGTTCTTCATTTTCATCTAGAGGCTAAAAAATTTTAATATTTCACATACTCAAATGTTTACATGTTTACAAGATTCTGCTTTTTGGTCGAAAAGATAAATGAAAAAGGTAAGTTATCTGGTAACCACTTATAGAATAGTGCTTTACTTTTGTATATATTATCTAACAAATGCTGATGAAAAATATTTAAATCTTTAGAAGATACGTCCTACGCAGTACAATTATTTAGAATATATAGACGTTCTTCTATAAAAGATTAGGGTGGTAGGGCAGGGCTGATTATCTGATTTGTTGGAGTGTACAAAAGAAATAGTAAAATACTAGAACCACGAACAATGGGTTGGACTTTTTCATTTCCAACTAGACCTTACGAGAAAAAATTGGTTACTTTTTGACATGTTAATGAAATAATTGACTGCTATACTCTGCCATATTAGGATTTATGATGTTGCAGAGGTTATCCCGATAGAATTATTTACCCTAAAATATAAGCTATTGCTGAATTGAAACCAAAGTGAGCAGGCCCCATTTTAATTACCCTAGTAACAAGTTTACGTACATAGGGCTAAAAGTATAAATATAAATTTTTTTAACGGGTTAACGGTTTACCTGATAAGAAAATTGAGTAATCCGCCCCCAAAACGTTAAGCCGTTAATTATAAAATTCCAATCTCTTCACCATCCATTACCCCGATAATCCGATACCAATAAGCCAATAAGCCATCGGTTCGATTAACGGTTTCGGTTCGGTTTTGAACAGCTCTAGATCAAAGTATATCTCTCTAAGACTTAAGGTTGCGTATAAATACTTTGTAGGAGACCGTTACTGAAAAGATTTGCCAACCTAAGAGATTTGATCCTTGGAAAGAAATTGATTCTTTCCAAGAATAAGGTTAATTCCCGAGAGTCCTTGATGTGTGGACTTTGACAACTTTCCATTTTTAAGTTTTGTTAGCGCCGGATTTGCTCCTTAATTCTGGGTCATTCCAGTAATAGCTGCTGATTGATTATCTTGCCGGATCTTCAATGCTTCTTTTCCGTTTTAACTCTTCAATCAATTTCGGATTGATTATCTCGCCGGATCGCCGGTGCTTCTTTTCCTTTTGAATGCTTCAATCAATCTTTGATTGATTTCTTCCTTTAGTTTTGATTGTTTCTCTTTGTGCACTTCGATCTTGGTTGATTTCTTTGAATCCCTACACCAAAAGCAATTATATTATTTTTCATATTAAAACTAAAACCTAACACTTTATTGATTTGGACCAACTAGTCCACTTTTTGTTCTACTAACTTTGTGTTCCAGGGAAACCAAAACCATTGGGTTTGAGTGCCATTTGCTGTTTTCATAAGCAGCACTTCAAAAAGCTGATGCATGTCCTTGTAAAAATTTTCAGTTCAGAATACAGTATATATATATATAATCGGACTTGTATTTGATTATAATGCGGTTAGCTAGTTTAATTAAATCAAATCACGGGGGGCATATTCAGCCAAATTTGGCTACACAGAGGTAAGAATTCGGTATTACATTTAGCCCGGCCCCTCCACGAAACAAAAGAAGAAACACCTTGATGTTTGGATACAATCATGTCATTTAATCTGCTTTTAATTTGGAAGTAGCATTGAACACTTTGATTCTCTGAAATAGTGGATAAATGAATCTGTTCGCTAATGATGTTTCCGTAATTTACCAAATAATTTGGAGAATAGGCCAATCCTCCTTTCTACCTGAAATAAAATAATTGCTCTTTAATAAACAGAATATATTTTACTAAAACTGAAACCTTATATATATATATATACACAACTGATCACAAGTTGTGTGATATTGAGACTTACCCGAAAAGTTTTCACGATAGCTATCATTTTGGTGGTTGTAGAAGCCATACTCTTCTTATTCTTATTATTATCATTGGATTTCTTTCTTAATTCAGGCAATGCGAATGATTGGAGAAACCTTGGCAGTACGAGTTTCCAGTTTCCAAGACAAGTTGGAACTCTTGCATATTTTGGTTTGCTTTTCACTGCAACTATCTGAGAAAAATATTTTTCAACAGCAAGACTAATTGAGAACAAAAATACACATCGATATAGTGATAATTCCTTTTTTTTTTAAAGAAGAGATATAGTGATAATTGATACTATGTTACTACGCCTCCATAAAGATAGTATAATATTGTTTATCCAAAAAAATGGATAAAGTTGAATTTATACGTAGTTCCGAAGATATGTGGTACAACTTAATACAAAATGCAAGGATAAATAAATATGTGAATATAGATTGGAGAAAATATAATCTAGACAAGGCAATCACGAACAGTGAATCTTAGGATTTAATAAAATAGAATCAATCTAAGAAAACTCGAATGATCACTCTTTCTTGTAGAGGAAATAATATTTTTGTTATCATGTCAATCTCAGAAAAAAGATGTCCCCCAGAAATGATAAACAAGCCCTTTTATAGTGGAGGAATTTAGCTTCAAGCATAATAAAATAAACGTCCAGTGGGAGACCCATGATAAATCAGTTTTTCCATAATTTCTGCCAAGATTCCCTCTAGTGGGATTACAATGGTTTTTGTCTGCGAGCTCGATCTTGCTTAGAATCCTCGGTTTTGGTTCGAGCTCGATTTCGGCTCGAACTTGTGACCTTGGTTCGAGCCCGACCCTGGTTCGAGCCCTTGAATTGATTCCAGGTCGACGTAGGTTGGTTTTTGGATTATAAACATGATAGATCTACCCGCGTCATAGTTCGATTCTTGTTCGAGTTTGATTATGATATCGATCTCATCACGAACCGGCCTCCCCAGGTTCTAGACTAGTTCGTGCCCCCATTCGGGATCTTACTTCGATATGCCACCCTTCGAACCGTACCGGACATGCCAAGGCTGAAATCTATTTCGACCGTATACAGATAGTCCCCTCGTTTCTCAGAAAGAAATATGGCGAGAAACGATACGATTTTCAACAGCTCGATCGGATTATATCTTGTCGCTTCCATCTGGTTCGACCATGACGCATGTGGTTACTGTCCCGTCGGTTTAGTCTTTCAAGGCTTTTAATGCATGTCAGGCGGTGGTCGGCCACTGCTGATAATGAACCGTCGTCGCTTTGAACCTATAAATAACTCTCACTTTTATCTTTTACCATTTTTACATCTTCTATCTTCTAAAATTTCTCGATTTCTTCTTTATACTCTCCAACTTACCAAATAAACTGTGATTTCTTTCCGAAAGGACCCCTCAATTCTACCAAATCTTTATCACTTTCTTCTACTCCTTACTTTTGAATTCAAAAATGGCAAAAACATCGCAAACCGTTCCTCAGAAAAAGAAAGCTTCATCTTCACAGTGTGTCGCCGATGAGACATATGCGGAACCACGGCCAGAGGAGTGTATCCACGGAGCGTGCGTCCTTACTTCAGATTTTAAAGTTGACAAAGGTTCATCGGTCCCTGGCCGGTGTGAGCCGGTATCGAGGTACATGTGTTCGATTACTGAGAAGCACCTCGATCTGTTAAAGAAGGACTACAATTGGGGTGAAAAAGAAGTGATAATACCTACCCCTGACAAAGATATCACTTCTCACGTGAAAGGGTTTTTGAATGTATATATTTACCCTTTCACTTTGGGTCCCCTCGATTCTGTCGTTATCGACTTCTGTCGATAGTACCAGGTAACCTTAGGCCAGGTCCATCCTTCTTTGTGGCAGATCGTTATCCTGATCCGATATTTCGTGAGCAAAA